TGTTACTCCCGCATGATCTCTGGTTTTTCGCGTCACACTGGGGCCTGCATTTTGTTTTGCTATTTTCTCTTCATCTAAATATATTTTTCAAGAGTACATGTAATTAACCGGGAGTTGAGTTTCGCAGGAAAAAAAAAAAATATAGCCCTTCACATGAAATAAGATTTGAATTTTTCTTAAAGGAGTGCATACACTTATGACTCATTCGGTTGTTAAAAATTGTGAGAATGAAATGTATTAAAAAAATAAAAATAAAAATGAACTAAATTAATTTTCTCTAAATAATAAGCATAATAAAATTCAATTTTACATATTATAAATATGTGAGAATCACAATACCCTTCACAAATTATACCCTTCACAATTTTCATGATTACTTTTTGTTTCTCTCATGAACATTTTTACCTTTTTTTTTTTTAATTAGTTCATTCTCATCATTGTTAACATTCAAACATACTCTTAGTATTCAACCGTAAAATTACTTCTAATATAAGGCGGTTGTCAATGACAGTAAGAGGCTGTAGGTGGATTTCACGTTCAATTTAATTAGCATAGTTATTAACTTTTTTGGATGTATGCTCAAAAGTAAGAGATAAATCATGGATAATTAAATCTCTAATCAACGGGGAATTAAAGAGGAAAGGGGTCATTTACGTCAGTTTAGTTTAAATCAAAATTTAACCCTACCATTCAATGCTTTTTGCATCCGCCATTGTCTCTAATCTCCTTAATTAGATTAGTCATCAGTGGATAATAAGTGACCACATTGTTCTAAATGAGATTTAAAGTTTTGATAGGATCATTATATATCGCAACACTGAACTCAGTAAATATTTAGAATATTAAGAATTCCTATTAAACTCAAGGAATATGGGCAGAAGAAAGCTGAGTTGATTGGTGTTTTCATTTATCTAATTAATAATCTTGATATTTTGATGCCTCGTGAGTAATTTTTGAAATTACATGGGGCTATCTAAGTAAATTTGAGTGGTAAAGTTAATTGTCATTGACAAAGGAGGTGGGAATGGCGTGGGGCAGTCGAATGACTTCAATCAACGTTGGGCCCCACAGAGGTGGCAGATTGAGGAGTCACGTAATGGTGGGCCCTGCGCGAGGTTGGATCGCTAGTAGTGGACTGGGAATCAAATGGGATTGAGGCCCAAAAGGCCGAAACAGTCTTCCATTTGATGCCAACACTGGCCGACACTCGACTCCATGTGGAAGCTTCGGCGTATCTCCGTCCTTTTTCCACTATCACCTTCGACCTTCCTTTTCTTTTAAGGCAAATCACGATCAAGGATATCTGAAGCAACATTTTGACAGAAAAAGACCAAAGCATTCTGATTTTACAGTACAGGACCAGAGGACTAAGCTGCAAATAATCTTGAGTGTGAAATGAGAAAAAAACCCCTTTCCTTTTTTTTTTAATTAAAAAAAGTCAATCTCACAGTCACCTGTGCTGGCCACTATCATCTTCCAGTTTAAGGGAAATCACAATAAAGGACCTTTAAAGCAACATTTTCACACAAAAGGATCAAAGCACTTTGATTTTACACAGTAGGACCAGAGGACTAACTTGTAAATAAATTTGAGTATGAAATCACAAAAGTACTCTTACCCTTTTTATTTTAAAGGTCAACCCCACAGTTACCAGTAATTGGACTGACAGTGGGTAGCTCAGTGATTGGTGGGAAAGATGACCAAAGAAAATTTGAACCTATAACCTTGTGACCATTTAAAAAGATTGAGGTCATCAAACCATGAAGCATAGTTAATGACATTAAGCAATATATAATAATAATAATAATAATAATAATCTAAGTTTTCAGACCTTTTTTAGGTCATAAAAAAAATTGACTTATTAATTTTTAAGTGAATTTAATGTTTTATTATGTTTATTTATTATTTTGACATGACCATTTACAAATTGAGAGGCTTAAAAATTTATATACTTTACAAGATCTCATTTGTAAATTAACATTTAGAAATCATTAGAAAAACTTGTTCATATAGGTAATCAATTTAATTTCAAAACCACTTTTTTTAGCATAATGATGACTTGTTCATTTTTGAATGACACTTGCTATTTTTTAAACTTTACTTGTTAATATGACATGCCCAACTATAATTGAGAGGTTTAAAAATTTATTAATAAGTAAACTTAACAAAATAACAAGCGCTGATCATGAATTAACAAGTCAACATGTAAAATACATGTAAAGTATATAAATTTTTAAGCCTCCTAACTTGTAATTAGTCATATTAGATTAAAAATTAAAGTTTGAAAAATAACAAGTGTCATTCAAGAATCAATAAGTCGCCATTATGTTATACTAAAAAAGTGGTTTTGAAATTAAATTTATTACCTATATGAAAAAGTTATTTTATTAACTTTTAAATGTTAATTTACAAATGAGAACTGATAAAATACATGAATATTTAAGCTTTTTAATTTATAATTGACTATGTCAAATTAACAAATAAAGTTAGAAAAATAACAAATTTTGTTTAAGAATTAACACGTCATGATTATGCTATAACAAACAAGTGCTTTGGAAATTAAATTTATTATTTATATGAACAAGTTGTAAGGACTTATAAATGTTAATTTACAAATGAGAACTTGTGAAGTATATAAATTATCAAGCCTCTCAATTTATAATTGATTATGTCAGATTAATAAGCAAAGTTTGAAAAATAACAAGCATCATTAAATTAAATTTCAAAACTACTTTTTTGTTATGTTATGCTATAACAAAAAAGTGCTTTTGAAATTAAATTTATTACATATATGAATAAGTTATTTTAATGATTTATAAATGTCAATTTACAAATGAGAACTTATAAAATACATAAATTTTTAAATATTTTAATTTATAATTGTCCATATTAAATTACTAAGTAAATAAAATAAAATAATAACTTTCATTAAGAAATTAATAAGTTAATATTCTGTCATAATTTAAAAGTAATTTGAAAACTTAAATTATTACATATATCTTTTACCTAATATTATTAGGCTTTGCGACTTGATAATCACAATTTTTTTTTTCTTTGTGCCACCTTTTCACCAATTAATTATCACTGATATTGGAGCTCTAATAATTGGCTATAGTCGATCTGGTTGCCAACGACCTCGCCAGTGGTAGGATTTCGGCGGTGACTTGGTGGCAGGCATTAGTGACTGTAAGGTTGACCTTTTTTTTAAATAAAAATATTTTTATCATTTCATCCTTTAAATTATTTATAATTCAATCCTTTAATTCTGCATTATAAAATTAAAATATTTTAATTTTTTTTTGTGAAAATGTTATTTTAGAGCTCCTTGATTCTAATTTTTTCTTTTTTTTCGAAATCACTACCTTCATTTTTTGCACTATGCACATACACTATATGTATTGGGATCATCGTGCAAAATATATTCAAATTTATAAACTAACGCATAAGTTTAATTTTAACGTTGGAAAACCAACCTGCCTTAGTTTTAATAAAAAAATTAGAATAGCTTAAGTAAAAAGTCTTACATCTTAATTTGAATATGTGTAAATGTAGAACGCGTTCAATCTCAATTAAAAATAATAATATTTTTTTTTTGACTGAAAACCTAATAACATTTAAATATGACTTGATAAAATGTCCTTAATTTTGAAAATATATTTAGTCTTTTATAATTAAAGTATTTTTTTTAATTAAATTTAAGATATACGAATCTTTTATAATAGTACTTATTTTATAATAAATTTTTATTATCAATATTATACTTTCTCTATTAAAAATACAAGACATTTTTTTTAGATTGAATTTTAAAAACATAAAATATTTTTATTTTTTTAATGTATAATTAACGAGTTTTTTTTTGAAATATCCAAAATGAATAAACCATGTAACTTTTCATCTTTAGGATAAACATCTTATTAAATATAAACGAATATAAAAAGATGATGTTAGTTTAAAGAGAATTAATTAATGTATTAGAATGTAATTCAGTTAAAATTATTTTACATTTTTAATAGAAAAGTAATACTTTAAAATTTACTTAATTTAATTTAATAAAAAGTATATTAAATATATAAGTTTAGAATAATGCATGGGCTAGTGCCACTTATTTTAATACTTCACATGACATGATGCCTTTTTATTTTTTTGGCTAAATCACATTATATGAGGATTGTATCTAGCTTCTTCTTCTTTTTTTTTTTTTTTCAAGACAACTAATTAAACTTTCAATATTTAAGTTTGTCTTTGATACCGATTTAGTTTATTAAATTTATTTTTATTTAGTTTTTTAAGTTTTCTTAAATTATCAAGTTTGTGAGTTTATAATTTGACATGCATATATAGCTAAACAAAAACAAATTAGCTCTTAAATCAATTTGATTTTGTCAATATAATCTCTTACCTTGCATTTTATTATTTGTTGTTTAAAATTAAAAAAATATAATTATTGATTCCTATAATTTTATAAAATTTATTTTTTAGTCCCTATAATTTATTTCAGTATTTCTAGTCCTTATAGCCCTTATAGTTTAACATTGTTAGGGATTTGAGAAACAAGCATTATTTAATCTTATTGCAATTAAAAAAACTGAAAATACTAAAAAAAGTTATAGAGATTAAAATAAAAATTTGAAAAAATATGGGGACCAATAATTATGTTTTTATTTAAAGTTTTTGAGTATTTTTTATCTACATAAATAATTACACTTTTTTTATTAATTTATAATGTTATCATCAATATTCCATTCTACTATGTGTTAGAATATTTTAACAATATTATCTTTTATTTAAATAATAAAAAATTAATTAATAAATAAATCAAACTTAGAGAACTAGAATGATAAAAAAATAATAAAAATTAAATTTAAACGATTGAATTGGTAATTAATGCAAACATGTGGAGGATTAACAACTTTTTTTGTCTTCTAAAAAAATAATTTTTATTGTCTAAAAGTAGGACTGAAAAACGACAGCCTATACAGCGTTTTAGCCATTCTCTCGCAATTCGCAAATTGTAAGGGTAGCACGAACTCCCAGAATGAACAGTGTCATCCGTCCCGCTCATCGGCGATTAGAGGAGCCCCATCGGGAGGGAAAATCATCGTGACTTGTGAAGGGAAGAAACGATGAACACTTCAGGGTCTTCTATACAACCTAACAGCAATTTGCGGGTCTCGGAGAAGCCTCGGCAGAACCAGAAGCCTCCTTTCAGACCAGCAAAGGACGACACCAAGCCTGTGCTTCAAGACCCGGTAATCTCTCTCTCTCTCTCTCTCTCTCTACACGCACGCGCGCACACACACACACACACATCACTCAGTTCATGCTTCGGAGATTGTATAACTTGGATTGTTAAACGGTTCTTTGTTGTTCAATAGATACTGAGGTCTGATCCAATTGAGACAGAGGAAGCTGTGCTGCGACTGCCTCCCTTCTCGATCGCCAGATCAACTACACCATCCAAAATGTCCTGAACATATAATTTATTTCTTTTCTGTTTTGATATCTTTCAGCGATGTCCTTGTCGTTTCCTCTTCACTTCTCACTTGAGCGTTAGGTTTCTATTATTTCTTCCTGTTTTGGCCCATTTGATTAGCTTACCAGAAATCCCGACTCTTTAAAGGCTGTAATTTCTTCTGCTATGCTGTTACTAGCTGAATTTATGTTGTTGGTGTGATAGCTTGCTTCCTAATCTATTTTTCCACTTACAAATTATGCTCGATTTGGTTTGGTTTATTTATGTTAGCCTTGACAGTGTTGTCGATTTTCAATATACGTTTGAATTCTTGATTATATTGTCTCATCGTCTCATCTAAATCATGTATCATTTATGCTGATTCACTCTAGCCTGTGGTATCTCATATTACAGATGTGACTGTGTGAGTGGATATTACTTCATTATCTACCTTGACCTTTTTTTTTTTTCGTTTTTTAATTCGAATGAATGGTGCGTCTTCAAATTACATATAAGAAGGTTGTTTTGCAGAATTTATCATCACATATAGATATGTTTAATGCCAGAGCTATTTATACACACGCACACACACAAGGACCAAATAACAAACTTTAAAATTATAGGAACTTCATCAGAAAGAGTTGAAACTTTGAAAACAATGTAGTATTTCAACCCTTTTTTTTTTCCTGATAACGTGGACAACTTTAAGTAATTGCTGCTGTAATAGTAAGAGTATGACTGATGGAAAAAGTGAGTGGAAATAGGTAGCATTTATTATAATTAGCAGTTTATTTTATGCTCTCTGGGATATATGTTCAGTTTGAAGAAATGCAACAATTGCATGCTTTCTTGGCTAATTTGTATTCAACCTAGTTGGACTGCACTTGATAGAGCACATGAAGTTTTCAATTTCAAACTTGTGGATCGTCATAAGTCATAACGCTTAGCGAATCCTTCACTGACTGCCATTTTATTTATGACTACTTGCAAAACTGGCAAGTCAGATTTTGGTTATGCATGCCATCTACATGTGTTACACTGATTGGCGCTGCTGTGTGTGGCGGACAAGTTTACAGTAGATTGCCATGGTAAATTTTGTCTTCAAAGATTTATGATGCTGACATGTAGTCTGTAGAATTTCCTGACATTCACTCTTTTCATCTTTCTTTCTTTCTTTCTGTTAATAGGTAAGACTCATTATTTTGCTTACTTTCTTCTCATAGAACCTAGCCTTGCAACGGTGGCTTCTTTGTGGCCAATAGTGGTGCAGATTGCAGAATGAGAAGTTGGGATTTGTTGCCAAATAGGAATTAAGCATTTAATACAAGTTAAGACATAGAATACTACTAAAGAAACAATTCAAGGCAATATTATTCGTGCATGATTTGAAGTGTGGCATTGTGAGCATGCATATCACTCATTTTTAAGCGGCTTCATGGGCTTTTATATTGGGGAAGATAGAGGATTTACACCTTTACAGGGATTTTAAAGAAGGCAAAGGCCTTGTTCAATCTCATTTGCAAACTATACAAAGCAAAATTATTGTTGGAGTAAGGATCTCATTACACGGCAACAAGGTTGATCCCAGCAACTGGAAGAAGTGGTTAAATAGAAGGATTAGGAAAAAGGCAGCAATATCAATAAACTATAACTTGACCAGCAGATCAAACATGTCTGGGAAACCAAAAATTAATAAACTATAGAACTTGACTAGCAAATCAAACATGTCTGTGGGAAACCATAAATTAATAAAACTATCTTCATGGCACAATTTATTTAGTGTAACTCATTTCAAGTTACATGCTATTCACTCAAATTATTTGTAATTGCATATTAGACTTGTTATTATATTCACTGCCAATCTATGATTACTACAAATGATCTCTCAGCTACAAAAAGCAAGTTGGGCCAGAATCCAAAGAATGGTTTTGTAAAACTCATGAAGGAAAGAAAAGTTCTGTTAAAACCTTCCCGCCTCATGCTGGATTAATAATGATTTTCCAAGAATTTCAGTCTGCTTTTTAACTCTGAAACCATATATTAAATTAAAGTAGAAATAAAATATCAACAGATATTATTATCATTATCATTATTATCATTATTATTTTGAGCAAATAATTCTAATCTCCTTCTAGGAATTTTCCCAAGCACCAGATCGTTCACTTTTCCAAGTGAAAAAATTTGAAAAATAAAAAATAGTGACTGCCTCACATGGCTTCGGGGTGGTGCTTTCCCTCTACATGCTTGACGCTTGCAGGAAGGCATATCATCAAACTGATTAGCAGGAAGCTCCTCCGACAACGGCCCAACATAGAATTCAACAGTATTTGATTTCTCATTGACTTTGATTCTGGTCACAGGCAGCCATATGAACAGCTTCTTCACCTGTATTCTAGACACGTTGGACATCGATCCGTAAGTAAGCTTGTCGATAATCACCTCATCGTAATAAACCAAACGGTCAAACTGCACGTAACAAGGCTTTCGGTGTTCTACATGGAAGGATCCGTCATCGGAGAGAGCGTAGGATTTAACAATTTTGGGAAGAAGACCCTTGGGGAGGTTGTATTTGGTGAGCAAATCATGGACGATGGGATCAGATCGCAGAGGAAGGCCCCGGAGAGGTAGGGGGAGATAAGCTCAGGAAAGCGCTACTAGAAGAAGTGAGCAGAAGAAGAAAATGGGTAAGATGCTCAGAAGCACTGATACATGAAAATGGCTGGCGTGTCCATGTCAATACATATCTGACATGGACACGCGTTCAGGACACGAAAATAGCATGTCTGTTTTCCCAGTTTTTGGCAAACAAGGGCGGACATGAGATGAGACGAGCGGACACGGGCGAATGCGGGTCGAACATGGGTGGATACGAAACTCTGTGTTTTTCACTTCTTTTTACTCGATCCCAACTCCAGAAACCCGATACCCTAAGATTTCCAACTCCATTTGATCCCTTTTGCGTGTTTGTCGCTCTGTCGCTCGCTGCCTCATCGACCGTCATCCTTCTTCAATGGTACTTCTTCAGTTGACTCGTTGGCGATTTCACTTCTCACTTCGCTCGCTAACTCGTCGTCTAAGCTCTTCCTCAACGTCTCTATCTCTTCAGTCTTCAATCTTCAGTCTTGGTAATTTATCTTCATTCTTCACGTATCAGTGCTTTTCAGCGTCTCTATCTCTTCACTTCTTTTATTGCTCGATGCTGGATATTTATTGCTCTCAATCTCCAAGTTGGTATTACTGCTGTGCTGGATATTTATTGCTCAATGCTCACTAGTCATTGCTGAACCGAGAGAGGCAGAGCTACCTGATCAGTTTTCCCATTTAATGTTGAATTATTGATTGAATTTTTTTTATTTAGATGTATTATTTTGCTGAGTTAAAGATTAATTTATTTTAAATTTTTATTAGCTCTCTTTATATTAAAATTGCAGGAAATTGTTTACAATTTTTCAATAGAAATTAAATCTGCAATGATTTCTAATTCTAGACTTGGTGGTAGTTTAGGAGGTGTGAATTCTCAGTTTCAATCTAGTAATGAAAGACAGAAAGAGAGTACTCCTTTATGGGCTTATGTAACTTTGGTTCTTCAAGAAAATGAAGGGAAAGGTGGAAATAGAAGTTGGAAGTGTAATTATTGCAATAATCAATATAATGGCCCTTATTCTAAAGTTAAATTTTATTTGTTAGGGACCTCTAAAAACGATATTACTATATGCCCGAAAGTTGATGATAGTTGTTTAGGTGAAATGTGAAAAGCTCAAGAGGAGGTTGAGAATAGAACAAACCAAGACATGTGCCATTGCCAACTCCAACTGAGAGCTTATCCCCTTTATGTCAAAGGGTTCTACCCCTATTGAAAGTGAACACAATTAGGAAAAAAGGAAGGCAACAAATATAATAGAAAGAGCTTTCCAACAAAGAGCTAGAGATAAGTTAACTGCTGAAATTGCTAGAATGTTCTATTTAGTTGGCTTGTCTTTCATTTTGGCACGTAACCCATATTATATTAGTGCATTTCAATATGCTGCCAACAATGTAATTCCTGGTTTTAAACCTCCTTGTTATAATACACTAAGATCTACTTTGTTGCAAAAAGAAAGGGCCAATGTTAAAAGGCAACTTAAATCAATCAAAGGGACTTGAAATCATATGAGGATAAGTATAGTTATAGATGGTTGGACAGATATTCAAAGAAGGCTATTAATTAATTTTATAGCTATAAGTGATGGAAGTCCTATGTTTTTAAAGGCAATTAATGCAACTAGTGAGTATAAAGATAGATTTTACATGGCTGACTTGATAAAAAAAGTGCTTGAAGAAGTGGGGTCTCATAAAGTTATTCAAGTAATCATTGATAATGCACCTATTTGTAAATTTGCCGGTAAGATGGTGGAAGATGAATATCCTCACATCTTTTGGATATCATGTGTGGTGTATACACTTAATCTTGCCTTGAAGAATATATGTGCAGCAAAAAATACAAAGGCAAATAAAATTATTTATAGAGAATGCCATTGGATCATTGGGGTGAGGGATGATGCAGTTTTTATCCGAACATATATCATGAATCATTCTATAAGATTGGCCATGTTTAATGAATTTGTGCCATTAAAGTTGCTTGCAATAGCCGAAACAAGATTTGCACCAACAATTGTAATGTTAAAAAGATTCAAACTTATCAAAACTTTTCTTTGCACACTGGTTATTAGTGAAGAATGGAATACTTATAGAAATGATAATGTTGGAAAGGCTATTCTGTGAAAGACATAATTCTTAATGATCTTTGGTGGGAGAAGGTTGATTATATTCTCTCTTTAACTAAACTAATTTATGATTTGCTGAGATTTGCTAACATAGATAGACCCACACTTCATTTGATTTATAAGACATGGGATTCAATTGATATAGCAAATCAAGGAATCAATTTATAAGTATGAGAGAAAATTACTTTTTGAGTACTCTTCATTTTATGAAGTTGTTTACAATATTATCATTTATCAATGGACAAAGAGTGCCACTCCACTACATTGTCTTGCCCATTTATTAAATTCTAGGTGTGTTATTCTCATTTTTTATCATGAAATTCTTTTCTTTACCATTTTTACATCATAACTCCAATTGATGTTATTATATTATTGTAAGTATTATACAACACAATGGCTTAAAGATGGACCAAATAGAGTCTCTCCACGTAGAGATGCTGAAATATCAACTAAGAGGAAAAAGTGCTTTAGAAGGATGTTTCTAGATGAAAAAGTTA